CAGTGATCATAAGCTTCTTTTGGCAGAAAATTCAGTTCACTACGGGCGCAGGGGACTGATCATCAGAGCTTTCACGCTCGATGATTAAGATGTCTGGATTTTACCTTACAATCTGTCAGATTGGTATGCACTAGTCCCAATCGACTTCCTCTGTCTAGGCATGGGCAATCTGGCAGTATCCCAGCCCTCGTGCTTCCCTCGGGTGGCATGGCAGCTAGGCACCGAAAGAGTTACAGCTGAACGATTATTATTATTATTTATTTATTTATTAATCGACAAGCGCGTTCAGCTTGCGTGACTGAAAGGTGCACCGTAGCACGCGTCTGCTGCAAGGTATCATTAGTATGCTCCGGTAAGGTTCAGATCCTGTTAGTTATTGGGCATAGTGAGGCGATGGATAGTTTTCCATGACAGTCAAATAAGTGATCCCTTCGACTCTACGTGGAAATACACCAGGCACTTTCATGTTCACACTGATGGTGAATGGCTCTTGTTCAAGTTGTGTGTAGGGCCCCACTGATCACTTCAACCAAATCTCCTTTTCAACTGGACTCCGCTCCTATCCTGGCTTCATCCTGACCCTTTCATTGCCATCTTTCGTGTTAGAGCTCAACTACTCGCCGATCAGTACCGAAAGAAGGCTATGCTTTTTGACAACGACGGTGTACTCCTTGTTCCTCTGGGGGACGATTTCCGTTATTTATCAGAAGAGGAGTGGGGTCTGCAACTGGATAACTATGGTCTACTCATAGAACATATCAATTCGAACCCGAAATATCGTATCAAGGTCAGTTTCTCAGCTCCTCACTTCCTTATTCGTTTGCTTGATAATGTTCGTTTAGGTGTAGCGTTATCCGAAAAAGGTACCCATTTTTTCGTTTATAATTAGGGCACTTCCGGTAATACAAACGGGTTTCCGAATAACTTCATCCTTTATCGGGGGCACGTGACAGTCTGCTCCCCGTAGGACTACCGTGGGGGTCCATCTGGATAAGGTGGTTGGTTGTGGCTCACGAGGATAGCTACTGTTAACTATCCAGGAATGCCCCAGGGGGTATTTCGACCCCCGGGGTTTCGGGGCATGTGAGTCACGAAGTTTTGGAGGAATACTGAGACAGGGTGATGTTGTCTGGCGAAAGTTTGCCGTGTACTAATACGGACCCTCAGGCACACAGGCTCTTCAATCAACAGACCCAAAGAATGTTGCCGTACAGGGTGATGTTGTCTTACACCACCGGATGTAGTGAAGTTTGGCGAAAGTTTGCCGTGTACTAATACGAACCCTGAGGCTCTTCGTAAGGGACACCATCAATCAACAGACCCAAAGAATGTTGCCGTTCGACAATCTGTCTCAGTGTAATGATATGGTCAGCTCCCGGTAATTGATATCCTCAGGAGAGGGTATACTGGTTGCCGCTAATGGTTAACTACTAGACCAAAGTCACGTGCACTCGTTTAAAAGTCGAACAAAAATAATTTTTCGTGCATTTTGCAACCGACTTTTAACTAGAAAACCGTAGTAATTCATACAGAAAGGGTCGAGCTGTTCCGATATTGTTTCTGTACCGCAGTCTGGCTTTTAAGTCAGATAACTTCTGGGACGTTGAAGCATCACTGTGGAACACTGATTTGCTGTCGATGATGATGGCATGCATGCACGGTGCTAAACTCGCTGAGACTCGCTGTGCTAGAATGATGGAGATTCGTGGATCTTCTGTACCGTAACAGCACTGAAACTTCATTGGTCAAACATCGGTTTGCTCAGACAAGTGACAAGTGACTGGAGTATGCCTTATGTATCTTGATGTTTTTTTTTACACCAGATGCGGTTCGCCACAGTCTCAGACTACTTCAATGCTCTGCACCAACGTCTTAAAACGCGATCCAACGAACTTCACTTGGCCACAGAGATGACACAACTTACCGGTGACCTATTCACCTATGCCGATCGGGATCATGACTACTGGAGTGGCTACTTCACCTCACGTCCAGCGGAAAAATTTCTCACAAGACACTTACAATCGGAGTTGAGGTGAGTGTAACCAGGTGACCGTCTTTCTCGGTTCCTATCCCATCTCAGCCTTTCGCTTGCAGTTGATCACACACCTTGCCTCTGTACTTTTGCTTTACTCTTTTTAATGTCTCCGTAGGTCAGCCGAATTACTGTATTCGTACACGCATCAGTTCTTGGCCTCTGACCAGACGAGGTACGCGCTGTTAACGGGTTTTCAGTCATCTCTGTTTGACCATCTCACCGAGGCTCGCCGCACGTTGGGACTACTCCATCATCATGACGCGATCACTGGTACGGCAAAACCGTTGGTCGCATCGGACTATGCGGCGAAGTGAGTTCGACTGGAACAACCGTTTCCTGAAATATATTCACTGCGAAGACTAGTTTAAGTACTGTTGCTTTTTTCGCTCGCCGAAGTCATCAGACGAGAATACGACCCGTTTGAGAAAGCCTATGTCGCTGCGAAGGTCCGAGACGGTTGAATTCTTTTGGTTACTGCGTGTGGGGGAGGTACCTATTCGCTGTAGATGGTTTGATTGCTGCATCTTTTTAGCTGTTATAAACAACATCTTTAGGCCATCTTTTTAACACTCATCCATTGCTTGTTTTTGAATCGTGTGCTGTTCTATCGGGACGCTAAAATTTATCGACCTTAGCGAAGCTAAATCGATTCGATCCGGTCCGTATGCTCCATTTTCTGTTTTGATTCTCACGCAGCCCAACGAAATTCTACAATGGCTCATTAGGCTACTCGGTCAATCGATGATATCACGCCAGTAACTCTGTTCAGGCTTATCTACCACACAATTATGATAAAAGTATCATAAACTTGGAAGTATTCTGAAAACAAAACGTCCGAGCACCGTACGGTTGGCGGAATCGACAATGAATCACAATGGATGCAGTTTTGGGGTTTTATGGAATGGGTATTTTGTTCATAGCCACACCACTCTCGTTTGAACGGCCGTGTTCCTGTTATGGCGTAATTATTCCGGTGAGTCCACACCAAAGGGAAGCACACTGGACTCAAGTTTCGCTCTTATTAGAGCTCATCAACAGTGCATATCCAATGGGATTTGAACCCCGGACATCTGACATGTGAGGCGAGTGCGTAACCACTACTCCGCCGATGCACGTTGAACGCATCTGAATTTTCACGTCTGAACAGGCGAATGTGTTCACACTTGAGCGGTGTGATTGGTGTGCCCGGCTCATCGAACGACAACCCAGTAACCATGGGTCAATGAGTAGTTGTCATTTGCTTGGGAGTAGTTTGTCTGTGAAGGAAGAATTCCCCATAGATAGGCTAGTTAGAATGTTCTGTAGTTCAATTCGGTTCAATCTTTCAGATTAAATTTTCTGCTTCTGCAATCCCCCAAAACATCAATATCCCCAAATAAAGAATATCCCATTTGCCAGGGATTGTTTGTCTCTTTTGAGAGTGATCTCTCTTCGGAGACGGCTCCCTGAAAAAGTACTGTACGCCCAACAACCAACAAACCCCGTTTTTCTCCTACCTACACTGTTATTTTCCCTTTCGGTTATCAATCATATATGCTTTCGCTTCCAGGTTACTCAATGCGATACGTGCGACACGTTTGGTTTTCTCTGTATCGGTTGCCCATCTCCTCGTGCTGTTCGTGGGTCATCGTGCTGAAGATAACCCACGCCTTCCCATACCCGGTGCCGTAAAGGATCGCTTGAAAAATCTTCTGGTAAATACCAACCCATCGGATGGACTGCAAGATGTGTCCTCTTTGGAAGACGAATTTTTCACAGAAGGTCGTTCGCGCCCCAAGATTCTCAAGCTTGATCCGAAAGGTTCTCCGAGGTAGGCAGAATACTATTTGCGATGGGCTAATTACACCTAAGCTGATTTGTGGAAAGCAATTGTGCACATTTTGCCAACCGTAGTTCGAACAGCGTGTTAGCGAAACACATTCGTTTGGTTTTAACAGAAGACTCACCTCGATAACCAGCTGAATCTCCCCTTTTTTATAATGTCCTTAAACAGCTCAATATGCTGCACCAGGCCGTCTCATGTTTCAGTTTGTAAGATTTTCGAGATATCGTCAGAAATTGCATAGATGTAATGGACTACTCATACGGTTGCTGATTGCTCTTCGGTGCCCCACTCCCCTTCCTCAGCTTTTTAATGATGCATGCTATAACCGCTGTCTGTCCGGAAATACAGTCTTGATAAACCATGTGTTACTTTTCTTTCAGTTTTGTATATCTCTTCAATCCCGTTCCGTATCCGCGCACCCTGTCTACCACACTGACATTGCAAGGACCCGCCCCGAAAACGCTGCTGATCACTCAGTCCACTTTGAAGGATCATTTGATTTCACAGCGACAACTTGTCGTGCAGCTCGAGCCATCAGTTCAGTACGATTCTTCGATGCCAGTAGAATTTTTCACGGCCCGAATTGGTCCGGTGCTGATGGGTCCAATGTCACTGACGCGCCTTTCTGTCCAAGTGGACGGGAAAACGATTGTCACACCTTTACAACCGTCATCGATCGATTCGTCCGATTCACAGTGAGTCCCATTTTCGTTCTGTTTTCCCATTCACTGTCTGTCGTGGATCGACACTTAGTTGCCAAATAAAGCAATGTCAAATGGAGCATCCATAGGGTGCATGTTCCGGGTCGCGTCTTCCACTATACCATCGTGAAATTGTAGGGTAGGACCAGCTCTAGTGACACAGGGCTCGTCATAAAAGACGCAACCGAAAAGAGCCTATCAAAAGGCCAAAATTTGTGTGACAGATTTTCTTCACTGACCTGCTGTTCAATTCACAATGACTTTCCCTTGGTGCTTGAGTACCGGCAACCCAGCTGAGTTATTATGGACCAATGAATCACACAAAATATCGCAGAAACTTTGAACAGTCATATAATGATATGTAATAATCGTTCAGCTGTAACACGTCCGGTACCTAGCTGCGATGCCACCCAAACCTAGACGGGAGAAATCAAGTCACACAGTTTGGGTTCGAAGCCACTAATCTGTTAGCTAGTGTTGTATCATGTTACAAACGTTTAGCAGTTTCAGATTTAGATTGTTGCATTAACCGACTTTTGTTTCCCCAAAAATCTTTCTTGAATACGGCCTCTAGCAAATCATACGGACTGAATTAAAAACGAAACTTTGGGGACAACCGAAAGGAAGGGGTCTCGAATTCCAGCATTTATCACAGAGACTCTAATCAACAACTTGAAACAGACTATAATACCAGATATCAGTCTCTAAATAATGGTCACGTGACCTAGACAATATTCTCATCGTCATCGTCAAAAAGAGTACATTCCAACGAACAGTCCAAATAGTATATAACTGTTTCGGTAAAATTGATTTCACGATTAGTGAACTAGACTAATGAGGGTTTTTTTCAGAATACTTCGTCATTTGACTTTCTAAGAGACCAAAAGAAGCTGAGTTCTACCGGCCAGATTGGGCAAAAAACCACAGTGACCATGCAGTGTACTACAAACGCAGCTCCAGGAGACACTCCAAACCAGTGAATTCCAAAAGTAGCACCGTGACCAGGAACGTTTCTCAGGAAAAAGTGCAACTCAACCAACTAGCAGCGCTATTCCAGGCAAAAGAATTACAGCACCACCTGGATACATCAAGAACATTTCCGAAATGACTGCAAAATTATTGGGATGCCGTCATACTACTGTTACCTTCTCATCTGCGAACACCACAGCGAGAATTGTCAAAATCGGAAAGAAACCACTTGCGGTGAAGAAAGTCAACGTCCTTCGCAAGATTGCGATAGCACGCAAACCTGCCTACACAGAGTTGGTCTTCTTGAGTATTTTTCACTAATCTTCACTCATGAAGATCTGGGGCGAGATGGCCCAAGTGGTTAGAGCGCGAATTTACTGACCGGAAGGACCGGGGTTCGAATCCGGCCTCCGCCTCTCGACTTCCCCTGTCTAGGCTTGGGCAACCTGGCAGCATCCCAGCCCTCGTGCTTCCTTCGGGTGGCATGGCACCTAGGAACCGAAAGGGTGCTGCAGCTGAACGCTATCTTCTTTCTTTCATGAAGATCTAGAAGGACTGGATGTCCACGGAAATCCACTCAGTCAATTTATCAGCTTTAGACTGTGTACTACAGGAAAATTGGTCTCCTCCGTTACTTTTTCGATCACTGGAAATTGGGAGATTGTGGTCATGCATCCAACCGTCGGAGGCGATGGCATGTTCAGTTAGTTCGGGGACGAGGTAGCGTGGGTCGTAGTGCCGCAGTGTAAGCTCTGCCATTGTCCGACAATCTCACGTCACGTTGGCGTCATAAATTTGCAAAAGCTGCCCTGATCTTCCCGATTCGAGAAGTAATCTCATATCCAGCCAGTCCACCGCATCCTCTACAACTGTCCCGGTAAACAAATTTTTCTTCCACTTCGATTGGCTCGTCCTCAAACATGAGGTTTGGATTTGATCCAACCAAGTCGCATAGCAACGCCTGACACTTTGGAGGTGTAAAGCGCATACCAAACCATGCAGCAGAGTTATTTAGGTTATTTATTATCGTTTGCATTTTTTGAGGGATCTGAACAAGGGATGCTACATACTCAATGTCTGTGCGGACCTCCTGGGAGCATTCTGATCCGCGAAGTTTCAGAGGCATGCAGAGGAATTTCCAGCAGCACATGAATAACAGTGTGGAAGAAGAAAGGTGCGAGAGGTTAGACCCGGACATGGTGAACTCAGGTGAAGGCTTACCGTATTCTCGTACGCGCCCACAGGAGTTCGCATACACTGCCCTCATAAGGGAAATACATTTGGAAGGAACATCCTGTCGAGGTTCGCGATACGGAACTTTGAGTGACGCGTAGGTTTGACAATCCTGAATATCAAAAGGAAGAATTGGGTTCGTAATCCTACGATACTATATGTGTACAACAAACCTCAATAGTTCATGTTCGTAGCGCGTCAACAAGTTCACAGGTCTGTCACTGACCGGCACAGTGCAGTGTCAACGTCCGCACACCAAACAACGGCGAGCGAAATGACCGCTCAGTAGCGTGGATTGCGGTCGTTCCTTCCGACGACGGTCTCGTGATCCTCATTGGACGTGCGATCACGCGGAACCCTTGAGAAAACAAGTCAAGGTAGGCTCAGCATACGGGACATGAACGCACATGGGTAAGCAGGTCAGCAGCGCAAATTCACAGACACACGTATCAATACACAAGTGTCGGGAAGGACGGCCTCTGCGGCAAGGTGAGTGGCGGGTACGATTAAGCAAAACAACTGGAGATCAAAAGTACATAGGCGGAGTAAGCAAATGAATGGGGGATTATCATAAGGTTAAGTTAGATTCAACACATCCCTGATCGCCAGATACTGCCAAAGCCTCTGAAGATCGACGTAGTCATATGTAGCTTTCACCTTAAGGCAAACACCTAACGTGGGACCTTTGAAGGAATGGTGATGTTCAAGAACTTATCTCAAAGTAAAGGGATGGTCGATGCACCGTCGGTCAGGGCGAAACCTTGCTTGATTCTCACAAATCTGTCTCTTTCGACAATCGATCAACCTGCGCAAAACAATGCCAGAGAGCACCTTAGATGCGATGGATACCAGGCTGATGCCACGATGATTTTCGCATGAAAGTTCTTGCATCTTTTTTGAAAACTGGGATGGCGGTTGAGAAGCTCCATTTGTCTGATTTTCTGTCTTCCTTCCAAATCTTCTGCAGTATGGTTGTTCACCAGGACCTCGTCACCTTCTTTGAGTAGCGCTGGGTGTGGGCCCTCTGCGCCAGGTGCCTCGTCGCACTTGAGGATTGATATTCCACGCTGAAATGCTGTCAAGAACAAAGAGTGCGAATTTACGCCGTCGTGTGTCTGCTCTCCATAAGCGATCATGTCTACCAACATCTGTTACAAAATAACTCTAGGACTTCAGTGTCATACTCATACAAGAAACCATAGCAGAAACTGGAAAGTTCACTGAATGAACTCCAGTTTTGTGGGCGCCGATTCGGACAGAACATGCAACTCGTAATAAAGGTCAATGCATCAAATGTATGTATATACTATATATATCCATACATACACGCTGTATATTATACTATACTACTACGTTATACTAAACTATATTGTACCATTGGTAGTGTTGGTTGATTGTTGATCAAGGGGCTTTTGATCTGTTCACACTGAGCTTGGCAGTTGACTTGCGAACGTTTCTCCACAAACGATAGTAATATTGACGTTAGATCACTCATGCAGGTAGACAATTCGCACTGCTTCTCAGCTGGGGCATTCGAAATTAGTACTAACTTTTGACTTCCGACTTCACAGTGAACTTGATGATTAACCGAGCGCCTTCTTTTTCTCGGCTTTTGTTCTGCAGTGCAGCGGATATTGTGCTGAGCAGCGACACGGTCGAATTGCGGTTCGATGCACAGACGGGCTTGATGAAAGTGAGTCCTATCATAATAACATGAGTATTTCTTGGTGACCGCGTTGCTCACACAGCGAACTTGGATTTGGTCCAATGATACTGCGCTTTACAACGAGAAGTAGTCTGAAGGCTGTCGTTCTTTCACTCATCTGTTGCGCTCTGTTGTCCACATCCCACGCAAATTTGGAGTGTGCTTGTTGAACACTCGTCATATGTGCGTACCGGTCCGGCTGTAAAATCGGAAGGTGGTCTGTTAATGATTGAATGCTAAATTTGCGAGTGTCAGTTCCTCGTCGCGAATAGGTCCCGGCCAAACCGACACACCTCAAATTTCATGAGTTCCTAATCGAGCTACGCGCTTGGTGTATGTTGATATAGTAGTGGTAAAGAAAGAACTGAACGAAACTCAGTTGTACCAGATTACAGTATCAGATCCTTATCAGATACAGAGAACATATTACGTTTGTCGGCCGACCTTTTGGAATCAAACTGTGAGTGCGTCAAGTGAGTTTCACCTCGACGAGTTCGGATCAACCAATACGTTTTCTCTCTCCTTAAGCGCCAGATAACTACTGGTTCCGGCAGACTGATACCCCACCGCTGTCTGATCAGTGAGGAAATTAAACAAGAAAGGAGAGCATGGATAGTCTCCGGTCACTGCGCTGCGTGTGGAAGGAGGAAAAGCATTTGCTGCGGAGTTATTTATTAGAAAATGCCAACTGAACAGTTACAAAGTTAAACCTCATATGCACCTGGATATCCGTCTTCGTGAACTCTCCTGGATATTCATTGGCTATCACGCAGCAGTAAACGAATGCTGCAAAGGAGTTCCACAAATTCCGAGACGGAGTTACGAGAAAACCACACACTACTCGCATCTCTCATTAGTAGTATCCACCGTTACACTTGTAAGTGAAATGTCACAGAATCCACAGAGTGTATTGTATTCTTGGACCACTTGGGTGTACCCTATCTCACAACCTTGTTGAGAAGAACGAGCCGGTTGACAAAATTTGAAATTAGGTATTATCAAGATTTTAGGACGCGCCTACCTTTCGTTGGTCCAACTCTTTGTGAAGTGTAAAAACGTGTTTTGCACAACCCTATCCCAAATGAAATACTGCTTCCTGTTGTCGGACAAGGTGACGCAAATAGTCTAGTTACAGCGTAAAGGTCAGTTATCACTTTTGTGATTACCACACTCATTGTGAGCAGCTTTTTTGAAAATAAGCACGACCATCGAATTGTTGCATTTGTTTCCCACTTTGTGAGACGAAAATAAATAGGAAGTCAGACTTCAACGACTGAGGACTTTATCTTCATCCTCGATTAGGGAGAGTTGGGGTTCGTCAGCGGTTGAGGGAGGGGCTGTATTCACATGTTTCTGAGGCCGTCTGGAGTTCCAAGTTCACTGTCCACGACTTTGTGACGGACAAGAAATCAATAGAATTGAGCGATGGGTGGTAGCCAGTTGATTCATTGTTCAAAGTAGTTAGGCTAGCGTTTTTTGAGATCAGATCCTTGTCACAGATCAGTCCACAACGACCATTTCGGATCTGCTGAGTTTCCTCAGCCCTCTCTATCCATCAGGCTTCTTGGACACTCCCTTTCAAGGGAACACTTAGAATTTGTCGAATCTTGCTGTATTCTCGACTGGTGAACAGGTTGTAACCTTGTTCGAGATCCATTGTGTGTAAATACAATCGATTGCGTTGTGCTAGAAGCAGAGGTTCTAAATTCTTGTAGGGTGTCAGATATTTCTTTTTTGCAAGTGTCTGCACTCGAAGATGTCATAAAATTGCAATCATGCAGCTGCGTCACTTTGAGCGTAGATCAGTCGTGTGTAGCCCAGAAGGAGTATAAGTACTGAGGTACTATCAGGTTGCTCAAGCCTAGATCGCAGCACTAGGAAAACCAGGGTTGGGTTCGAACCATGGGCTTCCCATCGACTAAGAAGATTCTCAATGGTTGGTTTCTCTAGGTTTTTTTATTTCATGTAAAAGTTCAGGCAGTTTCACCACCGGGCTATACGTAATTTCCGAAAAGCGCGAAAAATCGAACTAGATCCCAAATAGGCGTCCCAGAATGAGCTACCGTCAATGATTGATTGATTGATTGATGCTACCAAAAGTAGATGATTTGAAGCTGGCTCGAATGTGGGAGGGCGCCATGTGAGTAGCCGATTATGGTTGTCTGAGAAGTTGGTACCACGCAGAAACAGTCCTACCAGATACATCTAGAAACATCAGAAAGACAGTCATAGGGTCTCAGCAGCGCAAAGTCTACTTGCACATTCGTGCTCTGGCACCCTCAACACTATCTTAACTTGTAGCCCGCTTCAGTAAAGCACTCTAGGTGTCGCCTTTGAGATTCTCAGAGCCTCAGTCTGTCTCCAGCACGTTTAGGAACTGCTTTCAAACAAGCCGCGCACACTTGACATGTATCTAATCAGGGAAGCGTTGTTTCAGTCGTTAGCTCCGGCATAACAATTAACTTCTGGATCATCAGCAGACTGGAAGAAACCAAGGAGAGATCAGTTGGACAGCTGTGAAAAAGAAGGGAGACGCCTACAATAGTCTGAAGCATCTGCTCTGCTGTATTCGGCGACCCGGCAGGTAACACCACGCAACAGAGCTGGCATGAGGTTATTTCTAGTTGTATGATTCTCAATTGCATGCGAGTTGGCATGCTACCGGGGTGCCCAAACTTAGATACGAGGGTGATCTAGTTTCCCAACCAGGGGCTTTTGCTAAAAAAACCTGACCGCAAGTTGGCACCACTAGAGCAGTCTACTTTCCTAAAGGTCAAGTCACTACACAGGTCCCGGTCCCCACCTTAGAGGACCGGGATATGTGTTATCCGCACCTCTGTTTGACCTGTTATCAGAAACTCTGAGTGTTACAAGTACAATCCTCAGTTTAGCTTACTGGGTTACGTAGATACAAAAACCGTCACACCATTGGTCAGCGGTTTTCTGCATTATCATCTGTATTTAATCACATGTACGGATGTTACCAGAAGGAAGTGGTTTCGCGTTAGTAGTGGACGGCGGCCAGTCAGTGAATCACGTGACCAACCTTTTACGCTCACCAAATGGATGCAAATAAGACTAAAATGTCGCACTTTTCCGAATTGATTTTCGTCGTCCACCCTTGGTTGGCGTGTACCGAAGTCCACCAATGGAAGGTCACGAGTATGGAGAAAATTCGACATTACTTCATTAGATCGTGATAACTACCAATACGGGTAAAGCTGCGGCGCTTACTCCTTTCTCTTATCGAAAGTCTAACCGTTTCCACCTTTAGATACATCAATCAGCCATCTCCGTATATTTTTCACCCTTCTTTTGAATAAAGCAATTCATCGATCGACATTCTGGACTCTACCTGGACGTACTGGTCGATTTTGTCCAGTATCATACAGGTCGAAGCAAGTCACACAGCGGAGCCTATCTGTTCGTTCCTGAGGGGGCCGGCAAGGTATGTGTTGCCCCGTTTCCTGTGGAGAATTTGTTTGTTATATTTTTGCCTCGTAATACGCGTATTCAAAGTCCAGATAAACATGTTTCCTCTGTTTGTGCCAGTTTCACACTTGGTAAATAAAAAAATGAAATCATTCAGCTGTAGCACCCTTTCGGTGCCTAGCTGCCATGTCACACGAGGGTCGGGATACTGCCAGATCGCCCAAGCCTAGACAGGGGAAGTCGAGGGGCAGAGTTTGGGTTCGAACCATGAACCATCCGGTCAGTAAATTCGCGCTCTAACCGCTTGGTCCTTCTCACACTTGGTAGCAGCATTGCAACTTCTGATTCTTCTTTTTATGGCTTATAGAATGGCAAAAAATAAATAGATTACGGAAACAGACTCACCTGCATTCCTGTTCCTTCTGGGAATTCATAAATTTCAAAGTCAACTGGTAAACTGCGACACCGCATACGACTCAGTGGTATCCTGCTGCAGTCATTCCGAGTTGTCTACAACTCCAGATAATCATCCATAAAATCTGGATTGGAACTGACAACAAGCACGCCATCGGCCGCCTAACAGTCAAATGTTACAGCTTCTCCAATCATGCACATTGGAGATCACGCACTCTGCATCCTAGAAGGCGTGTCGAACCGATAGTACCCGAAATTTTCGTCATCACTTTCATGCCCCTCTGGAAGGTCAAAGGTTAGCCATCCCTGTGCTTCTGTTACTCTGAATTGGGCACGGAAAACAGCATCCTTTTGGGTAGGCGACGGCGCGACATGCGCTATACACTGCCTAACCAACGCGGCTTCTGATGATGGACATATTCCTCAATGGAAGTCCTGTTGTACAACTGGACAATCTCATTGCAGATTCCCCGATATCAGCCTACACTACATACGGTTGTGTCTCACACCTGAAGACATCTCAGTCCCGCTGCTCGAACAGACCAAGTCTCACAGCCATAAAACAAACCAGCCCGCACTATATAGCCTGATACACGCGTCCCGGGGATACGGCGCTTTGATGCCGGTGACTTTTGCAGCAAATCTAAACACTGTCCCAAAATGTCCTAAAAGCGATGTAGGAACAGTACACCCGGGGTAAAGTTGTAACACACTTTACGGTAACACAAGTGGTTTAACGGGGCTCACCACAAGTTAGCAAAGATCTCCACAAGGTGAAATGTTTATTAGAAAACACGAGTGCTCATCGAACTTGTCGGACAGACGCAAAGCGAATAAATAGAGAACTTAGCGAAATACACTCATTTGCGAACCAATTTAGTTTTGACGAGAGACTCACCTGGAACCCAGCTGAATCTCTCGTTTATGGTGTTCTCAGGCAACTGAATGTGCTGCACCAGGCCGCCTCATGTTTCAGTAGCTACGGTATTCGAAATATCGCGATACACGTATATTTGTAATGTACTACTCATAAGGTTGCCGAAAATCCATCGACAGCCCACGACCGGTTTCGCCCTTCTTGGGGCTCATCAGGTAGGCGCAGTCCCCGGGTTTCCGTCAACCTTATGTTCTACTTGAGACCAAATTGCACGAAATTAGCGAATCATTTGCAAACTTGTTATCTCGATCTCATGCGTCGTCTATCGTTTTTTCACCTGTGAACAAAACGAATGTTGACATTCGCAGATGGATGATAGCGGATTGGTTGGAAGGTAGTTCACGAATACCTTCGAATCTCCCATGAAAACCAAATGGGTATGGGGATGACTGCATTTGTGGAATTTCGTGCAATTTCGGTTCAAGCAGAACATCAGGTGGACGGAAACTCGGAGACCGTGTCTACCTGATGTGCCCCGAGAAAGGTTAATTCGGTCGTGGGTTGTCGAACAGTTTTCATCAACCTTGTGGGTAGTTTCCTTCCGGATAGGATACTGTGATATCTCGAATATCGTACTAATTGACACATGGGGTGGCCTTTTTGCAGCGCGTTTGCTTGAAGAATATCATAAATGAGGGATCCGGCTGGATTTCAGGTGACTCTCCCGTGCTGGCCAAATCGGTATGCCAATGGGTGTACTTGTCTGATCACTGCCCTTGTGAGTGTTCATGAAGCAAAAAAAAATCGAATCTAACAAGATTTTCACTATTTTATCACAATACTATCATAGTTTATTCTTTTCGCTTTCCTATTTTCTGAGAAAAATACTACAATAGTCAGTTGAACCAATGTAGTATCAGTTCAGCCTCATTCTGTCGAATCAGCTCGAACGAACCGAACGGTACTTTAAGCGAAGTGCCTTCACCGTAGGAATATCAAGCACTCTTAGTCAAGGAAACGATTTTCACCTCGTCGGAGGAATAGCCGGCAAATTAGCTGCAACCCTAGACATCGTCATCATCATCGACAGCATGACACAAATGTTAAACACCGATTCTTCCCTACCGTTAGTTGTGAGTGTCACGGTTCTACGATGGCTGGGATACTGTCAGGGAGCCCACACCTATACAGGAGGACGATCAGGGTCCTCAACCAAAGCCATTGGCTCAAAAGCCTGACCGCAAGGCAGCCGTGTTTGGCGGGAAGTTCAAATGAATTACCGTTTCTACGGAACAAGTCACCACATGTTCCAACCCCCAACCAGCATGGCTTTTTCGAGCTGTTCTTCTGCATCTGCATGTTTGACATTGCTTGAAAAAATCCACTCTTGTTGTTTACGAAGCATGCAAATGTCACCTTAAATCCCCTCCTTTCCCGGTTTCCCCTCAAAAGGTGATGGAACTCCCCAAAACTCCCCAACTTCGTATAATCCGTGGCCCACTGTGCGACGAAATCACTGTCTACACGCAGTATGTCAACCACACTGTTCGACTCTACAAGGACGGTAAGATATTGGTCCTCTTTTCCAGCGGATTTGACTTTGAAATGTTTCCTCTATCGTCGTAGTGCCGTGGTTTGGTGTCGTGGTATATGCAGTCCACTTTTGACGGTTCGAACCCCAGCGTATCTAGTGCTGATGAGCCGCGGTAGAAGCCACACGGAAGGCAGTGTATATTCTAACGTTTGTACAGTCTTTTCCGTTTGGATGAGATGGACCAAGTGGTTAGAGCGCGAATTTCCTGACCGGAAGGTCTGTGGTTCGAACCCGACCTCTACCTCTCGACTTCCCCTCTCTAGGCTTGGGCAACCTGGCAATATCCCAGCCCTTCGTGCCTCCTTCTTGTGGCATGGCAGCTAGGCACCGAAAGGGTGCTACAGCTGAACGGTGTGGTGCTCATAAAAGCTGTTTAGACACTGAGACATGAACCGCAGAAGAGAGCGGAAACTCAGACAATCCACAGCTGGTAAACAAACAGAGCTTTTCAAGACAGTCACAATCTAGTTTAAATTCTTTCCCGACAAATCCACTTGCTTTGCTTTCAGGCTGATGGTGCTTTGTTCTTATTTCAACCAATGTATGGAGCATCACACGGCAGCTTTCATTCGTAGGAAGACTTACGTGGGAGTGAGGTGGGATCCTGTCAGCCAGGTTCCAAAGCCACAATGTTTCCATGTATGGTGTGTCGCCTATGAATTAGGTTGCGAGTGAGAGTCGTGAGTAGACTATCAAATGCCGTCACACTGTCTTGGTGGTCGGGTTTGAGTGCCACCACAATCCAATGGACTACACTATCCCGATTCAGGCATTCTGATGTGGCTCAATGTACGGATAACCAAAGAACAGGAGGTGTCCTTTATGAATTTGGAAATGTTACAGGATACCCTGCAGCACATGGCATGCAGCCGATCCCAGTATTATGCAAGCTGCTATCTCCTAACCAAACTGCCTATCTTAAGTTCCGCTGATGGCGCTCTAATTGGAAAGGATGTCCAGCTTTCCAGCAGTGCAGGCATCTTATGCTTGAGCTTTTTCCTTGAAGACATAGGGCTTCTTCGCTCTCGTTCCATTCCCTACGCCACTCTTCCCACTCTTTACTAATGCTTGTTTAACAGTTAGGCATGACTATATATTACTGGTGAAGGGAAGAAGGCCTTCCCTGCGGAGTTGTGTGTTAGGAAACACCAACTGATCAGTTACAGACTATTGGACAGGGAAGCAACACTCTCATGTGCATCTTCTTTACAAAAACGGAGTATCTATCTTCTCCTTGAACACGTCTTCCTGAACTTTCCTGACTGCTACTCAATCGCAAGCAAATGCTACAAAGCGACTTCACAAATTCCGTAATAGATCTCACTTTTCAAGAGACGTGAAGCGGGTTTACGATAAAACATACTACTCGCATGTCCCCCATCAGTAGCATCACAGTTACACTGATACTTTTCTCCACACATTGTTCAAAAAATTTTCTACTTGCTCCCACTCCATTATGGTCAAGGTCAAACTGTCCCATTTCGAAGTAATTTGAGCATTTTTCTATTCCCTGACGATCTTCCCGGTCACGCGTCATAAATTCCGGCAGCCTAGTGGATTGAACTACACACTGGTGTTGTCGGGTTGGCTGTGTTATCATTCATAGATTCCTGCATCGTTCAGAGCCTCGTTAGCCTTTTTTTACGTGGTCTATTATAAAATCGAGTGAGATTAGTTGAAATTTGAATTCGGTATCCATGGTTCATTGAATGGTTAACGGAAGTGCTATTTGTAGGCAAGTATTTTAGCTGAAATATGCGAACTTTAACGACGAATATAAGTGTACGTGTATTTTTGAATAGCAGAGCATTAATGCTGAAGCTTGCCGAATGTTTTTTTTTGTGGGGAGAAAGTCAATCGCACACGATGGACGACCCGCTGATGCTATGCAAATGGTGCTGCTTTCGAATTACCCGAACAGCTTTTGCTTGCAACCATACGAGAAAGGATAAGTATAGACCTCCATCGGCGTGACATGATGGCGAGCTATTAAAGCTATAACCAGCAAACGCAGCTTGTTAGTGATTATTGTCCCCCAGGATGTGGTCCGCTCTTGTAGAAATTGACCAGTCATTCACTCAATGTATTTGGAGTCTTTGAGCACCCTCCTTCGATTTTTCTTGTAATTGTATGTGCCCAGCTTTCCCCTCGGACCTATCGTTCAACGTTGCCAGTCATTCTTTCCAGTTTCCAGTCTTCCATTCTATTTCTAACAACAACGCTGATGAATTCACTCGTGGCAGCCAGTACCACTGCACCTTCGTACGACCTACAGCTGTTGATGACAAAGACGGTGAATGCGATCATGATGATGACGATGATGATCGTAATGGCCGGGATGATGGATGGTGAGAATGATTCCTCTCTCAAAGAGCATTAGCGATGGACTTATGCTTATCGGTCCTTTCAGTTTTGAGGAACAACTCGACTTGATAATATGTATCGATACCTCCACACCAAATGTATTTACCGGGTTTTATTATTGAATTTATAGAATACATTCGCAATGTTTTGGAAGGGGCGAGATGGCCCAAGTGGTTAGAGCGCGAATCTACTGATCGGAAGGTCCATGTTTCGAACCCGACGTACGCCTGTTGACTTCCCCTGTCTAGGCTTGTGCAACCTGGCAGTATCTCGACCATCGTGCTTCCTGTGGGTGGCATGGCAGTTAGGCACCGAAAGGGTGCTACAGCTGAACGAATGATGAACCGACAGTGCTATGTGAACGTCATTCGGAATACAACTGCCTAGAATTGAAGTTACTTGGGATCGGTGAAGCTTAGGTTCAGTGAACGTTCCGTGTTTGGGATCCAGCACTGTTTTCCCACTCTTGTGGTGAACTTTGTTGTCGGACAAGTCCGCCTGATTGTCTTCACTGTTACTGTGGTTCCTGGTCATGGGCTCGAACCCTGGTGTGCGCCGTTTTAATAAGCCATATTTCGAGGCGTTGCTCTATCCGCCATTATCGTTAAATTTACTGGAACATCATTCTTTTGGACAAGCATCACTTTCGGTCTTCCAAACTCCACGTGCGCTTCACACAACAAATGAATTCGATCGAAGCATTTCCATAGCAGAAAATTGCTTTTGCTGATTTCGAACCTTCGTCGCATTCTTTGTCCTTGTCCATCTTTTGCCCCACAGCTCGATACCCCTCACAAGCGATTGAGCTGGAGAACACGGTGGATCTACGTTCAAACAATAACATGGAGCTGGTGATGCGTGTCCGGACCAACATCAGTTCGGCTCATCGTACGTTCTTCACCGATTCCAATTGTTTCCAGGTCAGCCGCGTATGAGTAGTGATTTTTAAATGGGTTTTATCAGTTTTGCAGCTGGTTTGGTTTCAGTCGACTTGCGAAAGATGAAAAGTTTACAGAGCTGGACGTTCTCAACGACCATCTTCTATCGAATGATTCGCCAAAAATGGAGTTAGACGGCTCAATTTCTCTCAACCGGTGGTACTTCAAAGGACGCTTTTTTTAGGAGACTATATGTACTTGTGATCATGGGTGCATAAACAGAGGCCGTCTGTTTGGCTATGCCGATGAAAACGCGGGATCAGTGAGACCACAACCTCGTTAGTTCATCTGGGATACAGCCTGAAAATGTGCACACCGCGTGGGTCTGTGTGTAAGCACTTGGTAGTCTGTTGGTCAGTCTTTTGGTGGCCAGAAAAAGGAGCTTCCTTAGCTGTGTTGAGTTCTACTTAACGGATCCCATATCTTAGTCACGTGCAACTCCTAAAGCCGTCAAATCCTCAATGAAATTTTTCATTTTGAGGAGTGAGTTACATTTTCGTGGGACAAATTGATTAGTATTGTAATCGCCCGATACGGGCTATACAGTTTACAATAATGTGTATATTATGTTGCAGGGAGAGGGAGTTCAGTGTTTTAAGGCGCGAATTTACCGACCGGAAGGTCCGTCGTTCGAACCCGATCTCTGTCTATCGACTTCTCCTGCCTTAAATTGGGCAACCTGGCAGCATCCCATCCCTCGTGCTTCTCTCGGGTTGCATGGCAGTTAGGCATCGAAAGGGTATTACAGCTGAATGATAATATGATGCCCATTTTAGACGAAAAGCAAGTCCGTCATCGTTGGACTGAGCAGAGTGAAAGTGCCACATTATAAGTAATCGATAATGTCACTCGTATAGACACCACACGCTTCCCGATTATTTGTATTCATCCCTGACATTCAAACATATATTCATTCTGCGGATTTCAACACGCATTTGTGGAGAACGTTGAACTCAAATGAGACGCAGTTGCATTTCCCCGCTTTTCAGTAGTCTACTGTGCTGCCTCATGTTTTAGTTGGGTCACCATATGGTCAATGATGAAAACAGCCTTTGGGGGACTGGTCAAATTCCGGAATTCCCATCACTCTCATTGGCTACTTGAGCACCAAAATAGACATTAGTAGACTACAGCACCAACTTGTGTGAGACCCGAATGGACATGATATACAGAAGATAATGCATTGAAAGCTCTCATCAGCTCTCACGATGTCCATCATACACTTACTGGTATCCATCAGTCAAATGATCTGGTTCTATTGCCTTTATAGTGTACGGTATAGCATCTAACAGAACTTCTTGTTTTGTTTATGCTGTGTACATCTGTGAACCTTCCTCGACCACATTGAGTTAATGCAGGTGGACCAGCGTGATTATGCAAGCATATCTTTGTTATTTTTTCCCGTTTGCTCACCTATTCACTGCAAGTCCCCTGTCTGACATGAAATCTCATTCGTATGGTCTGTTTGTCTTGATGTGAATCAACTAATGATCAGTGTGTGAGAGCCTCGAGACCGGCTCTCTTCTGCTTGGAGTTATTATTCCTATCGGTTAAGTGAAGTAGATGAAATGATGTATTTGCCAGGGTTTACCCCCGTCTTGGTGGTCTACTGTCGTCCGTAGTTGGTGGTGGATACTTATATAGATTTGAACCTTGTCGAGAAACTCAATCTCCGGTTCATGAGAACATAATTCAGCGTGCTCAGTCAAGTGAACTGATTCAATACGTTTTCAATCTTCTTCTTCCCAATGCAACAGTTTATTCAACGAACCTACTATGACAAGCTTCCGCTTCAAGGCAATCTGTACCCAGTGACCTGCGCAGCGTTTGTGGAGGGCTTCCCTGAGGTGCGAACCGATCAGAGGCCTGTCAGCGATGAAGATCCGCACATTCGACTCACTCTACTCACAGCTCATGCACATGGTGTGACTAGCACGAATGCAGGTGAGCTGATGGTATGGCTGGATCGCCGTACCCCACAAGATGACGATCGGGGTCTCGATAGCCCGCTCGTAGGCTCTTGGATCACTCAGTCCCGATTCGTACTGCACATTGAGACACTTGAACGACAATCCTCTGGACCGTTTGCCGTGAGTTATCCGAGTGTTTTTCTATGCTAACAGAAACGGTCTGCAATACCCTTTCCTCGAAAGGAACAGTTTCACTAGGGTGTGTGTGTGTGTGTGTGGAATCCTTGCCTTTTTGGACATCATGGTTTATCTCGTTGCCTAATTTCCCCCGAGGATAAGCAAGATGCAAAATTATGGACAATCTGTAAGTTAGTTTCCGATATTTTGGGGAATGATGTTCTTCTGCATTTTACATATAACTACAATAGTTGAGTTGCTGAAAACCAAACTACTGGGTCATATGCCACCAACTGTGACGTCCACTAACACATCAACCCGTACGTGATCTGTGTGGATATTCCACATACTATTGATGATCGTGGAAAGACGTAACCGAGGGATCGCTGAAATTGTAAAGTTTTGTCCATCTGAGGCTGTGGAACTTAGAAAGGAATAACCAGTTCAGCCCGTCTAACCTTATTTTCCCGTCCAAGTAGCACGTCTTTTTGAGCCATGATTGGGTTTGATTATGCGAAGCGAATTTAGGTAATAGTTGGAATACATATATATACAGAAAGTCTTCTTTTCTTTGTTCAATCTGTGTTGTCCCTCCTAGCCTTGTGCGATCAAGCTTTAGAGCAATATCACGTAGGCCATAAATCGGACCACTTGCGATTTTTTTTGGGATTTTTGTAATCTTCACACTTGTCAGACAACTAGGTCAAGTCTGGAAGCGTTGTTACTTTAATTGTACAGAAGCAGTCATTTTCAGAGATCAGGGAGGAAAACGGAAGTTCACAATTTCCCTAACGAATGTCCGCTCTTTTGTAAAGGTCTATGAGTTTGCAAGCGAACCATTATATGCTACCAGACCCCAGAGCGGCCGGTAATTCATTAAGTAAACTTGAGGCACCCGCACTCGCGATATTCTTGCCAGAAGTTTTCTCATTTTCATGGGAATCTCCGAAACGGTACAACACGCAGACTTTGACGTACGAAGGACTGAGCTTCAGCTGACCCGCATCTTGTTTGTCATCACATGTTTTATTTGTTCACTATACCCATCATTTCCTATTTCTCCGACGATCCTATGTCCTCGGCTTATCAGGGGCTGGAAGGAGCACAAACCGCATGTGACACTACTCGTTGTGCTGGTGAATCCGTCAACCTAGTTGTAGTAACGGTATTTTTCTCAGCTTAGTTCTCAGTCTGAGTCTCCCAAACTAGCCTTCACGTCAGAACAACCCGCAATGGTGCACAAAGTATATTAACGCCCAAAACGAAGTCAGGAACACTTGTACAGCGCTTCATATACATACCATAGCCGGCAATAACTTTCTGGAAATTCT